CCCCCCCCCCCCCCCCCCCAATTAGGTGGGTTTGTGTGCGGCCCGCTTCACAAAACCCTTACCCTTTTTATGACCAAAATCTTCTATTTTCCCTACCCTATTTATGACCTGACGAATAATGCGATACTCGATTTAAGACCTGGCCCTTAAAGCAATACCCTGTTTCAGACCTGCCCTATTATTACTTCAATAGTTCAGACTGGTTCTGATGGGCTATTGTTGATGGTCTTATAGATAAAGATGAAAACGTAGCTTCTTCTAAAAAATATACACACAATACCCTTTTTGAGACCAGAATGGCCAAAATCGATTAAGTATTTCTGACCAAAACGGCAAAAAATCCATACCCTTTGGGTTCGCAAATGCTTACAGAGCCCATTAAGGGAGTACCTCCCCCCCACCCCCTCCGGGCATTATCACAACCAACACCATTATCAACCATGATGTGTTAATTGTAAAATTAACTACATGTTAACTACATAATGAATTTTCGTGACCATTTAGACTTCCGTTTAAACCCTTTACTTGAGGATACTCAAGTCCCTCAAGGTCAGTCCTGGTTGGTACCCCAGCTGAGTTGTAAATCAACACTGAAGCCAGTAGAATAGTCAGTGTAAATATACAGTGATCGTCAGAGCCTTCACTTGACACAGCGTCTATTCCTTCAGAGTCCAATAAAACCACCGTGAATTCCTGTCCACTGGCGTCCTAAGAAATAAAAGCAAGGGTTCAGTCGAGCTCTTACAACTTTATAGTCCTTTCAGGACTGGTATATCCCACCTATTCATCTGCCTGTAAAGTCCAAAATATGAAATCAGAAAAGTATTTTCTCGTATCTCCCATCACCTTAGGCTGGCACCTTGCCGTGATGGTGAAGCTTGTGAGTTTCAATGACCCAACAAGATATCCTGCCTGGGACTTCAGTCTCCAGCAAAGGCCTTATGTGCCACTTGGAAAAAAGATTTGCGATTGGTGAAGATGAAACATACCTTAAACTTTTCGGGTACGATCCACATCCAGATTCCCATGGTCTCAGGGTCCAGGAAATGCCCGAGAGGAAACACCTCTCCTTGATCAAATGCTTTACTCAGGATGTACGACTTGCCTTTTCGGCAAGGCCCAGCAATTGACACCACACATACGGGACCTGACAGAGAAGCAAAACGGGTGTATTATGAGAAGGTTGAGGCAGTAACGAAGAAACGTCGTCAATCAGAGCTCATTTCTGAGTTGTTCTTTACCTCTGTGTGAAAACGAGTCTTCGTGTGAAACTATTGTTATGAAAATGCGTTTCATCTGTAAGTTCATCTTCATGCAAATCAAACTGATTTAATTCATAAGAAAAGTTTTGCACCAAGACTCGTTTTGAAACAGAGTCAACAGGCAAGTCGGAAATGTATATGGCCTATGGGGACGCTAATGTTGAACTGAAACCCTTTTAACTTGCCCGGATGGAAAATTCCTAAGTGAAACAAAACGTCTTGAAAGGCAGTCCAAAATTCCTAACCGGGATACAGTATTTATGAACATAAAAACTGTTTACTATTTGCTTTTATCTACTAGTCTCAATTTCGCTTTACAGACATTCTGCCAAATTTCTACCTGCATTCTCGGCAACGCAGTTCAATTCTACTGGTTCCAATTAAATCTTGGTAAATGGACTTTGAACTCGGCAAATCTCGTTGGCAATTTCGCCTCGGGATTTTTGCGTACCATTTGCCCAAACCGTGAACGAATTAGCTTTCCCATGTAAATGGTAAACGTGAATATGCAATGGGCAGCCAAGCTTGGAACAACACGGTTAATTATTCCTCCACGACTGGATGTTCACTAACAGGGAAACGCTCGCGCTATAATTACACTCTAGAACTCTTATCGTAGTTCTCAGCAATTCGATAAAATACAAACGAATTTCGATTAATTCAAAAGAAAATAGTGTAAGTCGCTCATTTTAAAATGCTGTCGTGATTTTTATTTTAATTTTCCCGAGTATTTCACTTTCCAATAGCTTTAGCGGTCAGTGTGAGGCTGGATCATGTCGGTTAATGAAATTGAAATTTGCGGTGCTCTAAGTCCTCTCTATTCATCAGAATTCCTAGCTTAAGCTACCTTTGGTGTTTCTGAGCCTTTCGATGGCTGCATCAACCACGTAGAGGCTATCTCTGGCACCGCTAGTCTTGCTGTATTCTCCAGTCTGCTCATCCCATCTACAGTTGTTTGGAAGACACAGTGGAACTGCACACTGTTCAGACATCTTAGAGTTGGAACAAACCTGTATCTCTGCTGTAAAAGCAAATTAAACTGAGCAAGCAGTTCTCCCTTAGTCTGCGAAGTAGAACTGTGTCAGCAACTGTTTAGAACCGAGCGGAGAGTCTGGGAATAGGTAACAGAAGCTATTTATATATCGTGACAGGTACGACACATGACCGGTCGCTAGCGTGACGGTTGAGGCGTACGTCACAGATTTGTCTTGACTTGAAGTTTTCTGGGAATTAAAAAGGTATTTGCACATTCTATTGATCAAGGCCAAGATCTGGAGAGCACTGTCTTATTCGTAAAAGTAAAGTAACAAAAGCTTATGCTGTATTAAATAAGACTGATGCTGGCAGGATCGGAGGAAAACACTTCGACGCAACAAGAGTGGACCTGTGTCATTTTCTCGACCTCTTTTTCTCGTATATTATGTCATATCTACTTTTACGAAAAAAATATTATCTTACGAATTACAGTTACTACTTCGACTACAAAGCTTTCAACTAAAAGAAATGCAAAGGAAACTGAGCACAGTTAATGTATTCGACTTACGCGAAACACTGAATATAATTATAATAGTTTTTCCACGCACCAGTGTAAGGCGAGATATTTGTACCCTACATCTAAGCTATACTATTGCGGTATGCTGTGCTCGTGATTTCCTTGTGTATTACAATGTATCAATCCAAGACTGAGGCAATTATTACTTCTATATCTTGGTCTAATTGTGTTGCAATCGCGTTGCAAAACCAAGAGCGGTCGACACCAGTCTATTGTCGGTAATTGACTTCCGAAATATCCACAAAGAGTTCTAAAAGTTCGCCTTCTTAAAACCAAAACGCTTGTGACTGAATATAACTATGGCAAATGGTAAAGCTGCGCGGAAAAAGCGAGAGATTATTTCGCTTACTTACCTTCGATCGCTCGCCGATTTGAAAACCAAAGAACTAGCTAGCACATTGCTTCCACTTCACATGCGCCGTAAACATTTTCAGTTCCTAGAATGTCAATAACTGGTATTTTGTAAACAGGAAAAGTTTCGCTTTCGAAGGTTCATGCGCAACAGGAGCTTACTGGGAAAAATTCTGGGATATTTCCCCGAAATGCGGGGATTGTCCCATAACTTCTGCTTTCGATTTCAGTACGATAAATGACTTATTTATTCATGCAAACGGGAAATAAACAATTTCTCAAAAGTCAGCGGTAGCCGGAAGAGTTTCATTTTCGTAAGAGCTGTTCGTTGGTGCGTCCATTTTCATTTCGTATAAAAAGGTAAGAATTGCTTTGATTAGTTGTTTGCTTTCGAAACTTGGATCGCTGAGGCTATAAACCTTGCACCTAAATATCAGTCGTGCTAAATTGCTTTCACTCTTAAGTCTTTGCTACAATTACAGCAAGGTCTATATAAAGAATACCTAATACAAATGGGCACAGAGTGCGTTTGGACCTCGCTGGAAAACACATGTTTATAACTATGCATTCTTTCCTGTTGAAACGCTACGGGCAATTACATACAAGGTACAGTCGCTAGAAAAGCAATTATTGCACATTTCGTCCTGCAGTTTTTATTCCCAACAACATTTAAAACTGGAGTACTGAAAGAATACAACTTGACGTCTGACGATTTCTCCTTTTAGAAGTGTAGAGAATTAAACTCCACTCCACAAAGCAGGTTACCAAGGTTTCGTTCTATAAGAGCACGATAAATTTGGCTCAACGAAGTAATAGATTTTATTATTCGTTGTGAACGAGATGGCATTGAAAGCGGAAGTAAGGGTCACTTAATTCTGTGAAAGAAACATTTTCGCTTCAGTGTTTGCTTTCTCTGGGAAGTAAGTCAAATACAAATTACCGAAGAAACTAAAATTGTATTCTTATTTTCAATAAAAAAAAAGTATTTAAAAAAGCTTTAAACTTGAGTAAACGAGTGTTGTTTTGAAATATTTCGCCTGATTGCGCGTGACACGCGTGACAGTTCTTTGATTAAATCGCCGCAAGTGGATCGAATGCTGATATTTTAATTTTATGCCTAATCTTTACAAGTCTAGAACACCTCGTATCCTGTGCCACCCGGTCGATTCTTGATTTGTTAGGTTCTATGATGTTCCATCTTCATAAATCTAGAGGCTAGAGAGTGAACTGTTCAGAAAATTTTAACTATTTTGCCTTTCTCGATTTTATTTTAGTGAATTAATTTAGGTATAAGAATGTCGGAAAACTGTGCTGTTCCCCTGTGTCTCCCAAACAACTGTAAATGGGATGAACAGACTGGGGAATACACGCGAGATGAAGAACAAGACAGGACCAGCCTCTGTGTTATTGATGCTGCTCTGGAGCGATTGCGGAATGTAAAAGGTAGCTGCGTATTTAAATGTCTCAGTACATGACTGGGCAGGATAAACATCTAAATTCTAATGTAGAGAATAAGGCAGATAAATGGTGCTGACTTATGATGAGCTGGAGATAAAGACGTTCCCAAGAAAACAGAGAATTTATTAACTGCATCATGCAAGGTTTTTAGCTCCCGACCGGTTAGTCGTCAAACCTAATTTAAACAGAAACATCAATTTGGATATTAAATTATACATGCAAGTTCCTCCAAAACTGCAAAAAAGACACAACTTGAGAAGAATCAATTCAATAATTCGCTTTGTTTTTTTCTTGCTTCGTAGCTTGCAGTTGTAATTCCAGAATAAAACCTAGGCCTAAGTGAATCGATGTATTGCATTCCATTGAGTTACTACTTAAGAAAACAACGTACTGACATCATGAAAAGCGCTTGGAGGAAAACGGTCATTGATGTTCCCTTTGGCATTTAATAGACTTGTAGTATTCAAGATCAAGAACAAAGTACCGTGTATGTAAGCTCCGAAACGTTTTGCAGCTATTGAGACAGAATATTGCCAAGATTACACATATTTTCTTATTGATTTTTTTTTTCAGGTCCTGTTTGTGTGGTGTCCATTGCCGGCCCGTGTAGGAAGGGCAAATCCTATATCTTAAGTAAAGTTTTTGACCAGGGTGAGGTTTTCCCTCTTGGTCATGAACTGGACCCTGAAACCATGGGGATCTGGATGTGGATTGTGCCTGAAAAATTCCAGGTATACTGACATTTTTCCATGAATTAAGGTAAAAAATAATTCAACAGTTTAGCAACCACCTCCTTTGTTTGTGTCGTTGATAATCTTCACCTCCGTAACTTCCTTTGGAGGCTACGGTACTTGAGACGGTTGGCCCGAGTTGGCCTGGGGCTAATTAGGGAATTGTACTAAGGGAAAAGGCGAAACGTTAAACAACTAAATCTTTATTCTGTAGTATTTGGCGCTAGATGTCATTACACCTAGCTTTTCCCTATAAAATATGGCCTGGCTGGGGAGCCTCTACTGACGGAGCCTATAAACATGTACTCTATAGCAGATCGATATAAATTGTTGTAATTCTTAGCAGAGAGCCCCCCTCTACCTGAATGAAGCAAAGAGATGCCCTATCCTATCGCGCTGTACGTACTTGCACTGTTAGAGGTAGTTTACTAAGTTACGGAGGTAAGCTGCGGACAGCGTTCCCCCCGCCACCGATTTATGGCCCATGCGAGCGCGAATTGAAGCGCGCGGCCGTAAACCACAGGGGCGAATGTCGGTCCGTAACGTAACTTACCATACGGACCTCGAACTCAACTAGCAAGAGGTCTTTCGGTGCGCAAGGATTTAGATAACACGCAAACTTTAATTCTTTGTTTGCCACGTGGCATGAAAGTTAAGAACACCTGGCTGTAAATCAAGTCAGAGACATTTTAGCAGCAAAAACAGCTTTAAATTTTAGGGGGCGGTACAGTAGAGTATGGCCCGCTAAATCGACCTATCACAGCGTCCATAGTAACTGAGAGAGTAAAACATTTTATTTATCGCAGGACGCCAATGGATTGGAAGTCACAGTGGTGTTGTTGGACTCGGAGGGAATCGATGCTGTGTCAGGAGAAGGCACGGATGATCACTGTATATTTACACTGACTATTTTACTGGCGTCAATGCTGATTTACAACTCAGCTGGGGTACCAACCAGGACTGACCTCGATGGACTGGAGTATCCTTAATTTAATTAAAAGTGATTTTTGAAAGTCTATCATTTATGGCTGTCAATGTCTTGAACACTGTGCAAAAAAAGTCATTTAAAAGTAAGTTATAACGCCCGTTGAAATTTTTTATAGTCGTTATTTTTAGTCCCAGCGAGAGGTTTAGACTCTGAGGCACTCAAATATCTTTTATGAAAACAAATAAAAAATCTGGACTTCGGAACTTCCTTAGCCTTGCATAAAATAGAGACTCAGAGAAAGCTTAGTGAAAAATTCGAGGCTGTGACGCAGATAACTGCTAAAACATAAAACTGCGAAAAACAGACCTATGGTATTTTAAGAACCATTTGCCCACCCTCATTTTCTATCGTTGTGTTTTTACAGTACTCTGAATGTTGTCTCCTCGTCCTTAAGATGTCTCACTAGACTTGCTGCAAGTCGACCTTCGCTTAATCCTTCGCTTAATCATCGCTTAAATACCATTGAAAAAGACTGTTAGAAAGTGCAACGCCTCACATTTATTAGCAAATATTTTTTGTGAAATTTAAATTCAATTTTAATCGAGGATTAAACGTTTCTAGTGAATATCCCATTTGCAGCATTCCTGAGGTTTTGATACCAGACATACTTCACTTCATAAGAGATTTCCTGCCTTAACATGAAACAAGCTACATATTAAAGCTGTCGCAGCGAATTCAAATTCACTCAGGCAGCCAGGCAGGAGATGCAGCCAAAGGTTCCACTGATGACGTAAAAATCTTTCACAAAACGTTTCCCTTCTTCATGTGGTTGCTAAGAGATGTTGTGCTTGCTCTTCCGAAAGGCTGTCATGACATCAAGGATTATTTCCTAACAAAAGTAAGATATATAGAATGCTCAAAATTATTTATTTTTTTATTTTTTTATTTTTTGCAAAATGTGTCATACACTTTGCATTATAAATTTTCTCGGCTGACAACTTGTCCAGCTGTTGTACTTTCGGCTCTCAGGTGTTGCGGCAGTTTTATCCCTAAAATCAAGGCTACGTGCAATTTGAAGGCAGTTGCATCCATGACATAAACCCACACTTACAACATAAAATTGCTACTCAAGGCCCAAGGAAGATAGATATAAACCGGTCAAAAAGTTGCCAATAGATAAAAAAAAATCGGAAAACAACCGTTCGGTACACGATGCACTGTCTTTTAAGATGCTGCAGGACGATAATTTGCTATTTTATACATTTGTCTCAGGTATTCAAAGCCTCATCGTCTGGGACCAAAGTCGATAAGGCCGAAGAAGTTGCCGAGAGCATTTTGAGTTACTTTCCTGGGTTTGATGCCTTTAAGTTGCCACCTCCATCTTCTGACCCAGATGTTGTGTTAAACCTCAATAGAGATGAAGTTCAGGATGACATAAACAAGTCGTTTCTACGTGGAGTCGATGAGTTTAAGTTGCGTCTTTGGTCTAAACTGACTCCCAAGCACTGTCTCAACGAGGGAGAGTTTGTAACTGGTGAAGGTATGCCAATAAGTGAAACTGTCAGTCAGTCAGTTACTCAGTCAATCAGAGCTAGTCAGTCAGGCTGTCAGTTAGTCGACCAGTCAGTCTGTCAGTCTGTCAGTCTCTTAGTCTCTCAGTCAGTCAGTCAGTCTGTCAGTCAGTCAGTCAGTCAGTCAGCGAGTCAATCAGTCAGTCAGACAGTCAGTTAGTCAGTCAGTCATTGAATCAGCCAGTCAGTCAGTCTGTTAGTCAACCCTTCCGTCAGTCAGTTAGTCAGTTAGTCTATTAGTCAACCCTTCAGTTAGTCAGTCAGTCAGTTAGTCAGTCTGTCAGTCAGTCAGTCAGTCAGTCAGTCTGTCGGTCTGTCTGTCTCTGTCTGTCAGTCAGTCAGTCAGTCTGTCTGTCAGTCAGTCAGTCAGTCAGTCAGTCTGTCAGTCAGTCAGTCAGTCAGTCAGAAAGTCAGTTAGTCAGTCAGTCAGTGAATCAGCCAGTCAGTCAGTGAATCAGCCAGTCAGCCAGTCAGTCAGTCTGTCAGTCTTCTTACGAAATTTTTTCCTTTTCATTTTCCTTCCAAATTAGCTCTTGCCACAATGGTAACCAGTTACGTCGCAGCTTTAAATACACCTGGGACAGTGCCTAACGTACAAAAGGCCTGGGACGTCTTTGTTTCCACTAAATGTACCCAGGTTAAAGCGGCTGCTACAGAATCATATGACAAGACAATGGAGTCAGAAATGGCGGGCAAGTTACCTTGCGAAAGGGACGTTATTCGACAGTCTCAGGCGATAGCGCTGGATAGGGCACTGAAGCTGTTTGAAGAGGAGACGTTCGGGATTTCAACTGCAAATATTGAGAGTTACCTCAGTGAGTTAACGGTAAGAAAATCGTCAATTTACTTTCTTTATATTCGTTTTATTTTTTCAAAATCAATTTAACAAATAGATTTCATGTTGCCGTGGGTCTACTCGGTTATAGATCACAGCTGACGTCAAGACGTGGTAAGAACAGAAAAAGGAGCACACGAGGCGATGGCCGAGTGTGTCACTGATATTCTTACCACATTTTGACGTCATCTGTGTTGTATCACTGAACAGACGCACGGCCACATGGAATCTTTATGTAATAAAGAAACGAACTATACAAAAACGATTACTTATTTCAAAATCTTTCGACATAACTCGAAAGCCGGGCCTTTTCCCACTTTGAAAAACACGAAAAACGCAATTTGACGTAATCTACATGTCTGTAAAAAAATGAAGCAAACTCATTGGTTGCTATGCGTAGCTATAAATTGTGATTGGTTCAGGGATTAGTATCATGGATAACGCGAGGACTTCATTTTCCGTAGTTTTTAAAACGGGTCATTACTCACTGCCAAGGATTAGTTTCGACGTAATGTATCAAACACTCGAGACAGTGTTTCATCGGGATATCCAAACACTGAGAAGAGAGTTGACAAAACGACGCGCAGCGGAGTATTTTTGACGAGATTCGAGGTGTTTGGATATCCGATGAAACACTGTCTCGAGTGTTTGATATATCTTCTCAATCGAATTCAAACAAAAACTAAGGAGAAAACGGAGAAATAAAATCGTCAAAATCTATGCTAATTAAGACCGGGTATATAAACCTCCTTCACGGTTGTGATTTTCTTTGATTTAACTTGATGAATTGTTGATGAGTTTGAGAAATACAATTCAACGCTCCGATGCATGTGGGTGATGGATGCATGGATGTATCCAGAATTAATGGAATGAAGCAGTCGCTAAAATTGTGCCATTATTGATAACTGCTGTTGAAACCACAAACACAGGCCTACATGGAAAATGGTTTGAACAGCTGGCAAGACAGGAACACACAGCTGACCAAGGAAAGTTGTCATCAGTTGTTGGGTGGCCTGAAGCATCGCCATCTTGATCCAGTTTTGGCACAGCTCAGAGGAAAGGAGGGGTCCAAAGTTTCGTTCGCGGAAATCATGGCTTGCTACAGTTCCATTGAGCTGGGATTTAAGGAGGAGGCTAAGGGTGCTGAAGATGTCTGTGCACAAGTGTTTCTTGATTTCCACCCTGTAAGTGATTCATGACACCTTACAAGCGCCAGAAGAGACACACTCCTAGCTAGTTCCATGCGGGTCCTCTTTCCGGGTAGCCTGATTCTTAGACGGTCCAGATCGCTCGCAGCCACGCACTTAAAGGAGAAGGAGTGCGTGGCTGCGAGCGGCCTTGACCGTCTGAAAAACAGGCTACGATCCGGGACGAATTGAGACTTTGGCAATGTGGTTTTCCAGGAGGAAAGAAAACCAGAGTACCTTGACAGAAAGCCTCGGAGTAATGCGAGAACCAAAAACACATTCAGCGTACATCAGGCTCCTGGCCAAATTGGCGGGAGGGAAACTCTCTCACCAGTACGCCATGGGCTTTCGATAAACGCCAGGGTGGTTGAATTGTGTTCTTGGGCAAGACACTTTTCGCAGGTCTTCTCTTCAAAAGGAATATAAATGCCCAATGTTGAGTTGATGCGTGACAAGAAAAAAAAATCGCTGTAATGTACTAGTATCCCGTAGATCCAGGGCTAGAAAAATATTCCAGTTATGTGATGTTACGGCGTGGGGAACTCAAAAATGATGGCACCGATGAGTCACCTGGCTTTACCTATCGTTTCGATTGAATAGGGTGGTAAACATTCCTTTCCTAACCTAGCCTGTTCCAGGAGTTTGGCTGGTTGGGGAACCAAGCGAGCGGCGCTCCCCATCTAATCGAACGCCTAAAACAGGCTGTTCCTTTGGGTGAAATTGTGCATGCATGATTCTCGAATGTCACATCAATTACATTGTGAAAGGGATGAGAAGAACACCGGATCGAATACCTTAAAAAAACATGATTTTAAAAGAAAACATCACGACCCGCCATATGATAGTTCTTTCATGTTGACGTATAGACACATGTCCTGTGCCTCATGTTTTTCCATGTCTCGGACTGCTGTTAACGGAATTACCAGTAACAACAGCTCGTTTTAGTTAGGAGAATTATATGATAATGAAAATGCACATGCGAGGAGTATAATCTTATTTCTCTGTCCGTCCTACGAATTGTAGGAACTACAGGCTGAAATGGAGAAGCACATGGAACATTTGCAGCAACTTAAAGACTTTGATGAAAACTTGGCATACGAAAAGGAAGCTAGGGCACAAGAGATGGAACAGAGAAAAAGAGTTGAGGTATTTTAATTAAATGCTTTTTCAGTGTGTCCAACATTGTACTTTGTCCTAGCCCGTACTTTTCGAGGCTTTTATTTTCACTGAAACATTCAATGTGCCCGTTGTGCAAAACTGCATTTGATCGGGAGGCAAATTTAGTGTCGCAGCCATTTTTTATTTTTCGGTTTGGCTTTTGTCTGTATCGAGTCTTTTTAGAAGTGGAGATTAATCAGTCAGGACTAATTTTGAAGTGAATGTTTAGGGTAGATACGAACTACCCTCATAATTAAAGGTAAATTAAATTGAATACTTTGCCTCTGCCGTTCACAGGAGGAGAAAGCTCGTTTGGAAGAGGAGCGTCTAATGAAGGAGAGAGAGGTTGGAACCCTGTTTATGTTTCTTCCACTTTAACTTTAAAGAACACCATTTATTATGTGGCTAGCTCCGTAAGTGGGCGAGATGAATCAAATCCTGCACTGTAATTGGCTACCCGAGCGGGCAAGATCCGCTCGGGACTACCCGCTGTGTCCCGCGAGAAACCAAGCTTATTTGGTTAAGATGGCTGGATATTGCCTGGTTCTTTTTTTGCAATTTATGGACCTCGACTCCGTCTCGGTCCATACGCACGCAAAAAAAGAACTTGGCCAATATTCAGCCATCTTGATCTCACACTTGGTCAATAACCCATATATACATGATTATGCCAGATACAGCGTATACCTAGATTAACTAATTTCTCAGAATGATATGTTTGTCGATTTGTGATCTGAAAAAGACAAATTAAAACGCACTAAAGATTTCTGAACGAATTATTTCCTTTTCGTGTCAGTTGGAACTTTTAAAAGCGAAGCAAGAAGAAGAGAAGCGACGCCTTGAGGAACAGATGAGATCCGCCATGGAAGCTCAGAGAGAGCAAATGCAGAACATGATGAGAGCAAATATGGACGAGCTGCAAAGGGAGAGACAAGATGTCTCCAATCAGAACAGATCAATGAGGGATGCCATGGAGAGTATGCAGCGATCACTGAATGAAAGAAATGGCCAGATAGCAGAGCTGCAAAGGCAAGTCCAAGATATTGCAAACAGACCTCCGCCACCCCCACCGCCCAAGAAAAAGAGATGTGTAGTTATGTGAGCAACAAGCTAAGATTGGCATCGGAGTTCATCATGGACAACAAAGATGTTGTAAACGTAGAAGAGCTAGCTGACATCACAGAAAATATAAAAGTAGCTCGAACGATTTAGAACAAGAGGTTCAGAGTTGTACATTTGACCGACAATTAGCGTTTTTAAAAAATGATATCGTAGTATTTACCCCAGTCTTAGTCCTATAGATGTCACTGTAATACATTAATTAAGCTCTGCATTTGATCATTGAAAGAATTCCTAAAAAAAAAGAGAATCCAGATGTGTAATCCAGGTATGTAACTGATCTTTACATGTCTCTCCCACTGTAAGAGAGAAACTCAAATTGCCAGATTACAGATACGATCAGCCATAATTTGATTAATAAACCCGAGGTTCAGACAAGCTTAAGTCACCAATTTTAACATAATAAAATTCTTGTATGTTGTCCAGTTTATAGTTATCGCATCCCCAGTTTTATTGTTTTCGAATTCGCGTACTGTACTGGCATTTGCCTACTTCTTTCACTGGGAAAATGCAATTTGGAATTTGGCTCACTTGGACCGGGAATCGAACCAGAAACCAAAACAAAGGGAATAGGACTGAGATCTGGGCAAAATGTGTAGGCTGGCAAACGAAATTTGTACCAATTTGTACTGGGAGGTGGGATTTTTATCCCCCCCCCCCCCCCCCCTTCAGGACCCTACTTGCAAGCAATCATTTAAAGTTTTAATCCGTTAAGTATTCCAACCATTACTTTTGGATATGGTCGCCACCATCACTACTTTCATCGCCTTATTGGCAAGCTACGTGACACCAAAACACCTTCACCGATTTTTATTGGATTAATTTCCGTGGGGTCAATTTTTGCGAGAATATCGAGTATAAGAACACGTTCAAAGTTAAAAGAAATGATTGTACCAGGTTATTTCGGCCAAAACCAAGGTTATCACTCTGGCCAATCACAAAAGAGACAGACAATACAGTGAACCAATCAAAACTCGTAGGAAATAAATGTAGATGGTAGGAAGCTCGGGTGAGTTCGGTTTTACTTCTGATTGGATGAAAAAGTGGCGCGAGAATCGTGTTGCGTAGTAATGCAAAACCCATTACTTTTCGACCATCAAGCGAAAACTGCATTATGAAGTTATCACTGATTGAACTATTTCTCATCGTAATAAGATTTTGAGAATTTTTTCAGACGCAGTAAAGTAAGCTCATTCGAGCACAGTGAATCTGTTGGTTGCGCCCAATATACCCATCTGGCGGTAGCCTCTCGTAGCTCTTCTTTCTCTACTTTGAAACCTTGGCATTTAGTGTTGGTGTTACCCATTGATTCGCCGTTTATTTTTTTTTACTCCACAACTTAGACAAACACTGCAAAATCGAGGGTGTGTCCAATTTCTACAAAATATTACAGAAGGGTACATTATCCATTTTTCAACTTGAGCCTTTCCATCGAACACACTTAACCATTATGTCAATTAACGCAACTTTCTCATTTTATTTTTGTTAGAGGTACACTGGTCAATTTAGAGATGTCTAAAAATCGTGCCGTGCCTCTTTGCCTGCCAAAGAACTATAATTAGTAGAATTCTACTTGTATACTAATGCAAATGCTGTAATCAGAATGGCCGAGCCATTGCACACTATCAGCCATTAGCGTGCAGTGGCTTGGTGTGGTCGACAAAATTGTAACGTTTCCTCGTTTCTCTGACGTTTTGAAAGAACATTCAGAAACAAATGAATAAACAAAATTCCCGAGAAGACTTAAAGGAGGGCATTAGCGGTTTCTTGAACTAAAAAAGCTCGAAAGTTTTGAAAGAAACTGATAAGCGCGCGTACACCACTGCAAATGTTAAAATGACAATTAATTCAGTCCGCACGAATTGTCTAAAGCGTGAAGTTTAATACTCAGACCAGAAATAATTGAAAACGTTTTTCAAAGGAAATTTCCGTTCGAATCCTACTAAACAATTAGATTATTCGCTCTCGATTTCTATGAGGCGACAGTTGATTCGGCCTTCGGCCTCATCAACTATCACCTCATAGAAATCTCGCGCTCATAACCTAATTGTTAAATGGGACGAGAAGAGTGGTGTCTACAGCAAAGATGAAGACTAAAGCAGGACCAGCCTCTGTGTCATCGACACTGCTTTACGAAAACTGCGACAGATCAAAGGTAATTAGCCGGATTAACTAACATTTAATCTCTCGTTAATTAAGGTGATTTCTTTGTAAAAGAACCCGCAATAGATTTCCGGTGAAACTTGGTATGCTGTTGTTACAGGACAAGGAGATATTAAAAACGTAGTAAAAAGAGGGGGTCACCGTGCTTGTTGTCACACGACAAAGCTGACAAATACGGTTATTTAGG